CACGACCACGACCACGACTACTACCACGACCACGACCACTAAACTGTTACTGAGGGGCGAGAAAGTATGTGCTGTTTTAGCACTAGTTTCTCGTCCGTCCCCTGAGAAACATTTATGTGAAGTTATACTTCTTATTGCAGTTTCCATTTCATCACTACTCTGCAAGTATTTGCTGCCCTCCTTTATATGTTCTAAACTCCAATGTCAACTTTTTGACTTGGTCATATTCATTTTCTACTTATGTTTTCTTTTTGGGTATTTGTAAGTTTGTCCTCTAGTTTGTTTAACTAGTCTCCCAGTTCTCTGGTATTCAATTTTCCTTGAGAATTTTTATAATTTCTCCATTAGTAGTGATCTCTGGTCTGGGTGAAGAAGTGATCCAGTTTTATAAATAAAAACAAATTTTTCACATTTTCTGATTTTCACTTCTTTAATATTCTTAGTCATATTTCAATTCTACTATTAGGTCACCAAAAAATTGAGATAACATGAATGTGTGTTAGGCACTGATAGAAAGCGGCCACGAAGAGGGAAGGGCAAATCTGAAAAGCTACCCCAGATTAAACAGATGAGGTAATGATTAATATGAGAAAGTCCATGCTATTTTGTGGCTCCAACAATTTTTTTTTTTTCTCCAAAAGGGCCGAAACGTGAATTTCAACATTTTTTAGCTAATTTTTGTAACAATAGAATACTCTTTGTACTATGTATACAAGAAATTAAAAATCGCAAATAACATTGTTTCATTAAAGACTACAATTTCAAGTGGCAAATGCGCGAGTAAAAGGGATAAGTCAAGTTTTTGTCCAAAATGAGTATGCCAGGACATTGTTTTACTATGATACTATCATTATGAATGTGGGGATTGGGGGCATTTCAATTTTGTTAATAAAGTTTAATTGTTGAAATGTCATTAATCCCCCTGTATACAAAGATAGTATAGTAAAGCAAAGTTCTAGCGCATTTGTTTTGGACAAAACTTTACTTATCTCTTTTTACCTGCGCACCCGCCAAATAATTTTTAAGGTTCATGAAGTTATAAATACATTCTGACGATCTTAATTTGTAATAGAAATGTTTGTTGAATACTAGTTTTGTCGTATATAGTTTGGGAGGTCAAAATAAGGTAGAGCTTTCATACAGTGTATGTGAACAATTCCTTACTCCAATTATCTACTTTGCCAATTCTGTTCAATTTTAAAATTTTTGTAGAAATGCCTTAATTGTTTGGAAATATTTTTGACTATTGTTTTAGCAACTTTTGTTACCTGCTCTTCAAAATGCTGGTCAAGATGCTGCATCCAAACAGTTTGGACCTCTTCTGGACATAGCTTCTTCATCTTCGGGTGTTAAGTCTGAACATGCTACACAGTCCACTGCAACTTCACAAGTGAGTTATTTTCTTTATTAATGGGTTGTTCTAAAATAGTTCCATTCCAAACAATGACATATAGTGAAGTGCACAATTTCTTAATAATTGTAAGAAGTTGATCTATTCAAATTGCTATGGTATTTTTCAAAATTGTTGTGAACAACAACTGTCATTTTGCTTTGTAGATTGTAATTATGTCTGAACCAAGAGTATTTAGGCCAGCTAATATATTGAAAATGGTATTCAAATGTGTGATTGTATTTTTAGCTGTTTTTAGAATTTTCTTGATTAAAGAATATTACTTAATGGTAGGTACCAGTTGAAATAAGGCTTCTATTTCATCAGATACTTTGAAATATGGTAGACAATTAAGCTGTTATTTTTGTGTTGCAAAATGTTGTCTATTTAGGCATCTTAATAAAAGCTAACTACTAATCATTAAATGTAGTAATATTTATTTGAAATACACATTTTACTGCATTAACTCTACCAGAAAACATTTGAATGGAATAGTGGTTACAGAGCGTTCAGGGCAGTGAACGATTTTAATGACATATTGTATAACAGATGAGCGTCCGCTAAGACCCGCATGCTCTCCGCTAAATATTCTTCCGCCAGTCAGCTGAAGTTGCATTCACAGCTGGTCGCGGATGACTGAGAATTTTGTTGTCAATGTAATTTTGATCGCGTGGGAGTTAGAAACAGTTTTCACCTGAGAGAATCATTTAATTCTCGTATTCATTAATGATGAAAAAATATACTAAGTGATTCAAACATTTCGAAATACTCTTGAGAACATGGTGTGATTGGATTGAATTAAGTCATTGATACAAGAATGAAATGGGAATATACTGCAAGCTCCCACGTAGGCCTTATAAAACGTACCGGAATTCTGGCGGTACTTCGATTCTTGCGTGTTCAAAGATTCCAAATTAATGTGTTGCTGTATAATGTTTGCAGTTATGATATCTGGTGTTTATAATTACGATTGTCATTTTCACATTGCTCATTTATGACTGACCAGCCAATGTATCAATTATTGATCCAGTGACTTGGCAGATTATGGTTAGTTAATTGTGAATTCGTTGTAATAATACTTAAATACTATAATTTGTTCGTTAATTGACTAATGAAACAAGGCTTTAAATGACATGTATAATAACATAAAACTATATGAATTTGCTGTTTTCTTTTCCTATAATTTTGGGCTTTCTCCTGATTGTACAAATCTTGGAAATTTTCACACTACATTCAAGATTCTTTGGGGAAAAGGGGGCACCAGTTAGTAGATATTTCTGAGAAGTTTTGGGCAGTATTCTCGTTAATTCAAATTGATCAGTAAACTTCAGGTTTAAATTTTCTTAAATATGAAATCAGTTCGTTTCTTAAAAGATAAAAATGGGTTGAAAACTGCTATAAATTATTGTACTTCACCTGTCATTCAAAAGATATTAAATAGTATATTCAAATTAATGAAATAAATTGTTTTTCATGATCACTGTGCAAGATTTAGCCTTAAGAAATGGAAAATTGAACAGGTTTCATACCTTCAATAACTTTATTACTAATATAAAGTCAATTAGATTAACAAATTAGGTGAAAAGTAACATAAAAAACAAAACTTAAGCTGAAAAAATATTCCCTTTATTTGCGCATGATTATTTATTTGGAAGGATACAACATTGTCCAACCGATCCATTGATCAATAAATTTATTCACTTAATAATTTAAAGTCCAACTATACAAAGTCAAACTAGTTTTCTAAGTCCTTTTTAAGAAAATATTCACAACCTACTAATTAACATCTCCAGCCTCAAGCCTAACACATTTGCCAGGGTCAGGACTAAAATTTTGAAATACAAACTTATACATTTGAATTTTACCAAGAGGATAAAACAATGCGAACAATGTACCGTATTGTAACTTCTTATTAATGGACACACTTTATTGGCTAAATTCAAATGCAGTCCTAACAGCGATTTGATAATTTATACATGTATTGCATTAAGATGTACAATACGAGAATTAACATAACTGCCTCAAAAGATACAAACTTTTTGCTTTTCACTGAATCTGCTTTCTAATTCTTTTTCCATTAAAAAGAACTAATTTTTCCTACCTTACTTGAAGTTAATTTTTGATGAGTGTAAATGAATTTTATTAAAATAATTTTCAACCCATTCCTTCACAATCAAACCTTATCTCACATACTTTCGTTCACACATCATTTTAATGCCTGATCATATACATAAAAAATGACTTCACTATAACTGAAAAAAACTTTCCTTCTTTTTAAAAAAAATTAAAATTATACAATAATTCTAAAAAAAGAATTTAAAAGAAGTTAACATGGCAGCATAATGAGTGTTCTACTTATATCTTCTGAGAAGTACAACCTTAAAAAAACACTACCCATACAGAGGGCAAAAAGCCAACATTATTCTAGGAAGCAAGCAAATGAGCATTTATTTCAAAGGCATATTATTTAGTAAGCCAAGATCAGCTTAAAACAATAAGTTTCACTATTTTCACCTGGAATGTAACCACTTACTTGCCCTCGATTTGAATAATATATAACTTTTTAATTCTGCACCTGAGAAGAACAAGGAATTATGTCAAATCTTTTTTCAAACTTATGGAATATACTGCATTTAACATGTAAATATACTCACCAATCTCTCTTAAGTAGAGGACCACAAGAGCCGCAGCATGGGTAACAGCATGAGGAACGTTATCATCAGAATCATACTGAATATTTACTATGACAGAAATCCCTGAAAGCATCCTGCCTAACTTCTAACTTTCCAACGACGACGACGTCGCCGCACGACGTCGACGAACTACGACGAACGCCGGACGACTACGACGACGACGACGTCTACGAACCGACGACGATCGTCTACGACGACGTTACGACTTTACGACCGTCCTACGAACGAACTACAACGACTAACGACGACCGTCGACGAACTACAACGACTACGACGTACGGACGACTATACGATTACGACGACTAGATACGATCATACGACGTCGACGATTACGACGTTCGACGATTACGACGTCCGATCGCGTCGATGATACGACGTCGATCGATTACCGACGTCGACGATTACGACGTCGACGATTACGCCGTCGACGATTACGGACGTCGGACGATACGAACGTCACGAACGAGTACGACGTCGACGATTTACGACGGCTCGACGATTACGACGACGACGTCGACGATCGGAGACGGTGAACGATTACGACGACGACGTCGACGATTACGACGACGACGTCGTTCGACGACGCGTCTACGACGGGACGACGTCGACGATTACGACGACGACGTCGATACGACGACGCTGCCATTTACGACGGACTCGACCGATTCGCGAGTCGACGATTACGACGACGACGGATTACGACGACGACTTACGACGACGACGTCGATACGACGACCAGGTTTACGACGACACGACGGTTACACGCGATCATACGACGACGACGTCGACGATTACGACGTACACGTGACGATCGACGATCCATAGCCGACGTCACGATACGACGACGAGCGAGATTACGACGACGAGTCCGCATTACGACGACTACTACGACCACGACGCACATCGACGACCACCGCGATTACGAGACGACGACGTCGACGAAGTGACATTACGCAGACGTCACGATCGGCGACGTCGACGATTTACGACGACGCTGAGCTACGGACCGGTCGCACGAGACGAGTACTACGACGACGACGTGACGATGCGACGACACGTGACGATTACGACGACGACGTCGACGGATTACGAACGACGCGACATTAGGCGCGCTCGACATTACGACGACGACGTCGACGATTACGCGACGACGTACGTTCGCGACCTACGAACGGACGACGCTCCGATTACGAAGCGTCCATACGACGAGACTCGACGATTACGACGACGGCGACGTTACGACACCGTCGACGAATTACGACGAGGTCGACGCACGGACCTTCACGAACGACGACGCTCGACGAACGGGTCCATACGACGCAACGACGACATCGACGATTACGACGATCGACGATTCCGACGATGACGATTCGACGACGACGTCGACGATAAACGAGTGACGATTACGACGACGAGTGAGCTAGGACGAATCGCGATACGACGACGACGTCGACGATTACGAGACGACGTGAGATTACGACGACGTCCGACGATTACGACGACGACGTCGACGGAATTACGACGACGACGTCGACGAATTACGACGACGACGTCGACGATTACGACGACGACGTCGACGATTACGACGACGTGATACGACGCGTCGACGATTACGACGACGACGACGTTCCGGGACGAACTCGATACGACGACGACGTCGCACGAATTCGAACGACGACGTCGACGATTACGACGACGACGACGATTCGGACGAAGGTAGCGATCGACGACGTACGTCGACGATTCGACTGAACGACGTACCACGACGACGACAGCGTCGACGATTACGACAGACGAGCTCGACGATTCGGACGGTCGACGATTCGACGCGGACCGACGTCGACGATTACGACGACGACGACGGTCGGACGATTACGACGACGACGACGTCGACGATTACCGACGACGACGACGTCGACATTTACGACGACGACGACGTCGACGATTACGACCACGTCGACATTTAGACGTCGACGATTTCGACGACTCGTCGACGATTTCGACGACGTCGACGATTTCGTCGACGATTACGACGATCGACGATTACGACGCACGATTACGACGAACGACAATTAGACGACGAGCTACGACGACCAGCGACTACGACGACGACGAGAATCTACGACGACGACGCAACTACGACGACGACGACGACCTACGACACGAGACGACAACTACGACGACGCGACGACACCGACAGACGACACTACGACGACGACCGACGACAACTACGACGACGACGACGGACAACTCGACGACGACGACGACGACAGATCAGACTACGACGACGACAGACAACTGACGACG